GGATCTTTTGTCAGTGGACTTGACGAAGAAGTGGGTTGGGCTGGACCATCAGACTTGGTCGACTTTAGGAGGCAAGTTACCCAAGTGCAGTACAGACCATGCGACAACTATATTTCGTGGACTAAATATGAACACGGCGGCGGTGAGCGATAGCTCGAGGCGCGCTTCAACATCCACTACAGTAAACATGTTTGATACTATTTAGAGTATTAAACATAGACTAATTATAAAACTAATTGTATAGGTTGAGACTACTTGCGAAACGAATTTTTTAAGCCTAATTAGTCTATGATTTGACAATGTGGTGCTACAGTAACATGCGTTAATGACAAATTAATTAGGCTTAATAAATCCGTCTCGCGGATTAGTGAAGGATTTTTTAATTTGTTTTTTTATTAGTATCGACCCCCCATGTGACATCCAATGTGACACCTCTTAACTTTAGTCCCTATATCCAAACACCCCAAATCTATACCTTATTGAGTATCCAATTGTTGAGTAATATATGTGGGCACATTTTTCTTTCTCGAATATAGAAAATGTTTGCGCATAATTAACATTAAGGTAGAAGAGTTTGAACATATATATATACACACAACGCGCTTCGGACACCCTAGGTGGTCTAGAGTTACGTACAGCAAAAAGCCAAACCTCCCTAGTTTCTAAGTTCATGCTAAGCTATTACACATGGGCTAACACAACGAGAAAAATGGTGATGGCGATGTGGCCAAAGTTGTACCCTTTGCATCGCCTGCGAGACCCTAGTCCGCAAGGAAGAGCTCTCTCAGTGCTTTGACATTGGAAGCGCTTCGATGTGTTTGGTGTTGAAAGCCCTTGGTGATACATATATGCTACTCCTTCCATCCCAAATTATAAGTCATTCCAAGAATTTTGGAGAGTCAAAGTTTTTCAAGTTTGACCAAATTTATATAACAAAATAATAATATTTATCATACCAAGTAAGTATCATTAGATTCTTCATTAGTTATATTTTCATATTATACTTATTTGATATCATCAATCTTTGTGTTTCTCTTTATAATTTTAGTCAAACTTGAAAAAGTTTGACTCTCTAAAATTCTTGGAATGACTTACAATTTGGGATGGAGTGAGTACATGATTAGGACTTTGACGTTAGCACGGAGGAGAGGCTCTGTCCCGCTAGGTGCAACGGAAGCACCCACTGATCAGTGGCTCCCAGTTGTTTGGGAGGCTGTCATGCCACGTCACGTGCGTTTTCCGGCCGTTCGATCGGACGCGCGGATGGCTTAGATTGGACGAACCACGGTCTTTTTGTAAAAAACACCTTAAACTTTAGTCGAATCAACCCGCAGTCTAGGTCTCCTCTCATATTTATTTTCAAAAAAGTTCTCAAACTTTACCGAAATCAAGCCTCAGTCCAGGCCGGCCTGCCTTCCGCTCGGGCTTGACTTCGATCCAGCCTTCCGTGTCGTGCTCCCCCGTTCCCGAATTCCGGCGCTCCTCCTCCTCCCATAGCCCCATGCCGCGCCGCCGCAGCTCCCGTCCCCGCCGAGGGCTGCCCCCGTCCTAGCCTCCACTCAGGCCGGCGCGAGTGGGGCCATCCACGCCCACTTGCTCCCGTCCTCCCCGGATCCTTCCAGGAGGTTCCTCGCCCATCCATCCCCGCACCGGCCATCCAGCCTCTGCTGCTGCACCCCCCGCCTGGCCAGCGAGCTGCACGACGGCGACGGCGCCACGCATGCCCGCCCACTCCGCTTCTCCCTGGCTCTCTTCCAAGTGCTCGAGCTCACAGCCACGGACGCTGAGACGAGTGTCTCCGTCTCCAGGCACCCGCGAGCAGCGGCCACGCGCCCTCCCCGCAGGACACCGTTTCCGATTTCGATGAGACACCACACCAGTGCTGAGACAGTGGTGACGGCAAGAGCTAGGCTCTGTGCAGACGGGTGGCCAACTCAGGAAGCTGGATAATACCTGCCCAGTCTCTCTCAACTCTGCTTGTCTTGCCTCTCCCGCCTCCTAGCTGTTCAATGAAATGCCCCTGTGCTGTGTGCTTGTATGTCGATGGAAGTAATACTTACTGCATATTTTTTTAACCGGTATTTACTGCAGATTCTTGCACAGCAAGTCAAACTACTTCATCATTGGTGTACGGTTGTATCCTAACTGAAGCTGTGAAAGTATTTTTTTTTTGGCTAGAAAATCAAATCTAATTAAGGAGCCTTATTCTACTGGACAATTGATAATTTGAAATTGTAGATACTATGATGTTTTAGCTTATCCATAGTCTTAATTGTTGTGGAAGAGATATTTCATTCCGCTGCTCCTACATTTGATCCATTGTTACAAGTTCTATAAGAAGGGAACAGGTTGGTGATTAAACAACTTTTTCGAGAACTTCTCACAATATGTGGTAATCACTTGATCTTTTGTCATGATTAAAACTCCATTGCTATTGCCCATTGATTGATTCCTTGTTTTTAGATGGTAATGGAAATTTCTCTGACACTTTACCTTTCTGATCTTGTATAGAGGAAACGCACTGAATATTTGAACTGTCATTATGCTGTGCATTAGCTCTCTAAAATGGAGAATAAGTATTTGAGATTTGTCAAATAACCCATATTGTAGCAAGATCAGTTTTCAAGTGGTACAAGAGTCTCGCTGGTACATCAACCTCAATGTTATTCCTGAATCAAAGCATTTCAAAAATAGGCAAAAAAACAAAAAAAAAAAAAATCTCAATGCCATTTCTGAGTTGAGTATCCCAAGCTGCATGCCTACCATGTTGTAACTGTTCCACAGTTCTAATCTCAAGATCAACCTATTTTTTTGCATGTTTTAGATTTTATTTCTACTATAAGACTGTAATAGTTCACTGCAGGAAAAAACTACAAGAGTTCTCTGGTAAAGCAAAATGTAACCTTTCTATGACTTTGAGCAGTGCATTCATTTGTGGCACAATATTATCTATTTTTTCTGTTGTATTTTTCTCGATTATATAAAAAATACTGAACACTATTGTTGTTGCATCTTTATATTTGAAACAAGTTTAGAGCCCTAGACGCAGTGGTCTGCTATTGTCCAGAAAGATCCAATTACAAATGAGTTTGCTGCTTTAGTGGAGCACTAGCTAACACTGACCAAATTTCTGTACCTCCGATAATTTTTCTTACATATTTGGCTTTGTTCATGTACATCTAAAATGTTTTTTTGGCACTGTAGTGAGGTTTACGTCAGGGGCTGATAGTATTGGAGTTTCTATTTCAGCTCATGAGCATGTATGTTCTATCATATATTTTTGCTCCTATTGTGTATGTTTATCTGAATGTTTGATTTTGCAGGCAAGAGCTGACGATCAGGCCATCTACATAATCAAGCCTAGCCATATTTTTGCTCCAGATCTACCCAATCATTGCTAATCTAGATGATCTTATATTTGTTCTCTTATCCCCTGTACTTTAGTTAGACATTCTCTGGATGTGGTAACGGATAAGGCTATGCCTTTTCACGCAAAAGATCTTATATTTTCTGTGAATGATATAATAATTCAAATGTATGCTCTATATAATACTCTCTCTGATATACTCGTTTCTCATATACAGATTATTGCAGACATAGAAAAAATCATGGCGACCGGGAAAGAGCCAAGCGATGAGTTCGATGTCATTGACATCCATCATCGATCTAATGTCCCTTTTCCAACAATGTCATATTTATTAGATGCACATACTAACAGGTTCAGCTAAACATCATTCTTTGTTTTTTTCGAAATCACCATCATTCTTCGGTCTTCTGCAATTATCAAGCTCTACGACATTGTTGCATCAGACCTACTATATTCTATTGAGCATTGATCACAGCTGTTCACAGTCACAGCCACTCCATATCCCACCTAAAGCATAGATGTTGGAGAACATGTCTTAAGATCATTGCAATGCTCAGACTCGATTAATATGAGCAATTTCCCTACACGCCTTCCTCCAAACAATTACGAAAGTGTTGCTAGGCGACGCCGCCCCTACGGGCGCTGCGCCAGCGCGAGTGGCGCCCGACGGCCCTTCTACCTCTCCCCCATCCTCCTCGACGTCGAGCCTCGCGAATCTTCTCAATGCGTTGTCCCATCCGCGCAATCGGCTTCGATGAGCAGGGCAGCAGCGCGGCTACGCAAGTAACCATCGAGGGCCACCAATGCGGGCATGGTCGACCGGAGAGGTGGCGAGCTCACTAGCGCAGCGGCACATGTGAGCCGAATGGCCATTTTGCCTGTCCGACTGAGCCGCGCTGTAGCCTTCGGCCCTCCGCCCGCACCTACGCCGGATAAACGCCTTGTCCCCATGTTCGGCCGCCCTTGCCCGTACCAAGGGAGAAGGGCCGCAGACGGGCTGTGGCACGGCGGCGCACGGGGCGACGCGCCGTTGTATCTGCACCTGGCCGCCGCAGATGATTCTCGCCGGCGGCCATCGACACAGAAGTTCCACGGTCTCCACCTGGATAGAGCCTCGCTCGCTCGCCGGCCTAGCTTACAAAATAAAATTTCCCTTCCTCTCAATGTTTAGACCTAAATCTCCTATGTTATGGTAGTATAATAAAATTTCTTATTGTACTGAAAATTAATTTATACAAATCACTATCACACCTAGAACTGCAGCAATCGGAAGAGTACCGGTTCTAACATTAGCGACTCAAGGGACGAATGCAAATTTCAAAGGCCTCAACGCTTCCTATGACCCCGTATCGACACCATAAGCATCATCGCTAAGTTTAAATTATATACTCGCCAGTCTCGTGGAGGATCCGCATTGTGAAGCCCTCACTCGCTGAGGCCATCCACGGTAGCAAAATAAATTACTCTCCCATTCCTTTACTGTTGCTCCACGTGTCAGCCTTCCAATGGTCAATAGCAGCCAAAATATCTCCTTGTCGATCCATCTCTCCCTCCGTAAAAAAAAAAAAATCCTTTCCCTCTGTCTCTCCGTCTCTCCCGATGTGGCGCGCAGCGGGAGGGCCGGTCCGCGGCCATGGCGAGGCGGCGCGCCGGCGCCTCCACCCCTCCCTCTCTCTCCCTCTCCCTTCCTCTCTCTCCCTCTCTCTCCCGACGTCGCGGCATGCCGGCCGGGCCCAGGGCTGACGCCTCCGCGCGAGGCGCTGGCGGATCGACGGCGGGTGGGCCCCGGCGGTGGCCGTCCCTGTCCACGGCGCGGCGCGACCGGGTCCCGCCGGTGGCCACCGGCGTCGCTGCGCCTCGGAGCTGTCTCCTCCCGCCGGTCTGCGTGTGCTCCTGTGCTCTACGAAACCCTAGCTTCCTGTGCTCGTCGACCCCGGCTGCGTCGCGAGCTGCCAATGGCGGAGCGTGGCCTCTTCCTCGACGGCCGGATCTGGCGGTACTTCATCCTGTTCTCCTCCCTCAGATCCTGTGTCCCGTCATCTTCCCTTTTGCGCAGGTGCTTGTTGGCTATGCTGGTAAGCTTTTGATTGGCCTTGTTGTTGTTCATATATCATGATTTTTATGCATATAGTCTCATGTTCTAGGTTAATACCCAATGTGTGTCACCAGTGGCGGAGCGTGCTCCAAGATCAAGGGGGGGCTAATTCAATACTAGAAACATTATTGTCCTAATTTTAATTGTACAAAACACCGTCATCGATTCACCTAAGTAAGTAGTATGGGCCTGAGAGTATTGTAGACCAGTGGCAATAAGTGAGATGGCATAAGTATTCGCACTTGGGAACTGAAATACTGAATGCAAAAGTTCGAGATGACTCCTAAAGTCCATGTTTAGCTCTCTGCTGCCCTTCAACTGGTGACAGGCTTTATCTATTTTAAGCTTCAGCAGCTGGCATGCATCTATTGGAGCTAAGTGCCCTTCGTATCTGTTGGAGACAAGCAGGGGCCGGAGCCCAGTTTGGCCGCCACTGAGCTCCGCCCGTGTGTGTCACTATCCTGTAAATATGGCTTCCACTAGAAAATATTGTGTTCAGTATATTGGGCATGATTACATGATATTGATCCCACCGAACTTCGTCAGCCTTGTGAAAAATGGTTCCATGTTTACAGATTATTTGCATCAGGCTTGTGAAGAATGGTTCCATGTTTACAGATTATTTCCATCAATACTCTATGCAGATCTAGCGCTGCGCCAGTGAAGCACGCAGATTAGAATTCATTGTAATGCTTACACATCGATTCTCATACCACCTCACCACAAGGCGGCAGCTGCTTCTTGTACATTTGGATCAAAATATTTGATGCCATTGCTATTAGACAGAAAATGGAGAGTAGGTGTTATTAATGTAATCTTTTTAATTTGGCATGTGTATTCATTCTAAATTTCCTTTTTCTCACCATGGTACAGTCAATGGGTCTGGACCATAAAGTTTTCTCAGTTTGGACATCTTTTTCCTGTTTCATATGCTGCAGAGATAGATGAGTATCTCAATCATGGACAGATGATGGGACGAAAGACAGCAAGCTAGGACAATAGGTGGCGAGTTCTTGTTGAACCCAACCACTTCGATTAATTCTTCTTCGAAACATGATAACCTGGTGTGTCTGGATTTAATTTTCCATTCATTTTGGTTTGCTTTGCAGGAGCAAATAATGAGATATGTCTTTGATTGCTCGGACTCAAATGGTGTGGTCTATTGTGCTGCGATTGGTGTTGTGCTTCTGTAATATATGCCAATGCCTTTGTCGTGCTAATTTTGTATATGTCAAGTAATAGGATGCATGAAGATCGACTTCTCTTTTTGCCTAGCTACACTACTGCTCCTAATGTCTCTATTGCGTTCCTGTATCATGTTTGTTCGATGAGTCACTATCAGAGCCATGTCAATGTTAAAGGTATCCCCCCCTCCTTGCTTTGGTCCTTTTGGTCTTTTTTCTGCGGATTGGGCCACACTGACTGCTATTATGTTGCGATTGGTTTTTTGTTTCACCTGAGGCCATGCCTAGAGTTTGGGTTCTATGTTGCTAGCTACTGTTTTGGTTGTCGCAGCTACTGATAAGTTTTTGGATTTTTTTTGTGCAGCTTCAGGGCCCTTCTCATGGTGTAGCATGGTGGCTACTTTTTTGGTAAGCCCATTCAGATCCTGCAGGTCCTTTTCCTAATACACAACCTTGCTCTTTGCTTTGCCCTTTGAATGGAGTAAAGCCGGATCTGTTTGAGAGATCTCTGCTTGATGATAAGTTGCAAAATTTTGTTCTGCTGTAGCGCTGTTATTTAGCCTATGAGGCAGAAATAACCTGCAACTCTTCTACAGCACGGCATGTGTTCTTCAGAGCTATACATGCCTGTCCATGATATGATGCTGGCATGTACCATTCTAATTTGATGTTGCTGTGGTTTTCTGTCTGCCTTGTAGCCTTGTTCTAAGCATTGTTATGTAGTCAACTGTATAAAAAACAAGTTATTTTATTGCTATGTCATTTAATCTGAAATCTCTCCTGATACTGCACTATGAATGTTCATCTTATTAGAGGTTGATGTGTCCTTTTCCATCTGTTCATATCCACTCAAATGCAACCTGCTCTTTCGATAAAGTTCGTGTATAAGAAAATGCAGTGACTATTAATTTATGTTCTCACAACACCTGAACAACTTATGAACTATTTGCTAGGGGATATATTGCAGCTTTTGTATTCCTTCCCATGTGATTTGTGCAAAATCTTTTGAGGATAACAAGTGCATTTTTGTTTCACCATGTTTACAAATTCTTTTGGCAGCTGTTATTATCTTATATTGACTGTTCCTTTATCTATATTTTTTTTGGTTATGTTCACATCTGCATGATTGTTGGGTCCTTCTGTGCCTGCTCATTTTAGTTTCTACTGTCTATTCCTTATCAGCTTTAACACTTTAAATTTTGAGGTGTGAAAGATTATGGCTTGGTAGGTTCCAACGGTCAGGCTTAGTTCTGCCACTGAAGGAGGTGTCAGATCTCCGGGAGGTCTATCATTTGTGAGTGTCTTCGACTTCAATATGCATGCCGTGTGAGCTCTGATTCAGAATACGTTGGCTCATGTACCCTTTTCTCTTTCACTTCAATACTGTAGTCTGGCTCAATTTTTTTTGTTAGGACCGCGATGCCGGCTAGAGGCTCGACTTTGCAAAATTAAAGATTGATATCCTATTACTATGCTAGGTTTAGATTACTATGCTATCCTCAACTTTACATGACTGGTAACTTTTTATAGTGGTCTAATTGGAACTTTATTCTACAGAGAATGTGCGTGCTCTCTTTTATTTATCCAAGTCTGAGACTTGATCTGGAGTGTTCATGACGACGGACCGATAAGAGAAACATGCATGGGCGAAATGGTTGCAGATCTCAGACTGGGGAGGTGGATGTAGATCTCAAACTGGTTATCAAGCAATGGGAGGTAAACAAAAAGCAACCATTTTCTACATGATCTACTGTAGAGATTATGCTTTCATCTTTGACAAAAAAGATAAACTGAAGAAAAACCATTGCCCCAAGATTCACATGTCATAGGAATTTAGATGTGTTGCAGCCCTCATATTTCCTAATTAACTACTTCAGTTATTGCCATTTAATGTTTCAAGACATGTGAGTAGCTTCATGGATAGCTAATAATCTTATTCAACTGAAACGACGTTAGACCTTCCCTACTAAGACCACTCAAATGTTTATGCACATGGTAATTTAAAAATCCTGCTAAAAATGGATGAAATTACTCTCTTTTTGAAGGGATATATATTTATAATGCACTGTGTAACCATGTTTGGCTATTTGCAGTTCTGTTGAACGTTGGTCCTTCCTCTACAGCAACAAGAGCAATAGAAGTGAACCTTTTGGCATTTTCTGAAGAATTTGATCTGGAGCATCAGGTAATCTCTAGATTCATTGAAAAAATAGTTTCTCCATGTCACCTTGTTTGTCTATAACTGTACAAATTGTGGTGGCAGGCAAGTAAGGGCCTGTCATGAATTGAGAGAACTAAAATGAATAATTAAGAGACAGTAACTCCCTCAAAGTGCTAATAAATATGTTGCTTGGTGGTTCGGAGGGTCTAAATTGAAAGCACAAAAAATGTTTTCTGCCATTTTTTTGCTTGCAGTATGACAAGACCATAGAAGATGTTGACGGATTGAAAGCGATACCTGAATATCTAATGAACTATTTGCAAGCTACATTCCAGGTGATGAAAGCTGACTGGTTGCTGGTTTCTCTTTTTGCCTCTCAGTGCCAATGCCGTTATTATTAGAATTAAAGTGCAAGATTAAAAAGTTTTGGCACAATTGTTTATGTTTAATTCATCTAGCACATTTCATCATATTACCATGTGTGATCTTGCCATGCTTTGGTGCTGCTTACAACATGTCTTTTCTGTTTTGGAAAATTAAATAAGTGCGAGAATAGAATAGTCTCAGTACAATTTTTTATTTTTCACTGATGAGATATTTTATTGCCACTCCATAACAGTGGCTGATTTGTGGTTTAGTACTTCATATTAGGCACAAGTCTACTTTGCTTTGCCATTAGCTATGTTACACGGATACGTCCCTGAAGCCACGTATCATGTATCCGATACGTATCGGATACGGATACGTGTCCGATACGCCCCGGATATGTATCCTCGGAGTATCTGATTTTTTATTATTTTCGCAAATGTTGGATACGCCGTCAGATACGTATCTGGTCTGCCGATACGGCCCAGCCACGAACAGAGTGGAGGCCGTGCAACACGAAGGGGAGCAGAAGGAGATGAGTCCTGCGTGGGCAAGGTTGCTCGCGTCGGCCGCCGAGCCGCTGTCGATTCGGGCACCGCCGCCGCCGATTGGAGCACCGCTGCCGTCGGATCGACCCCGCCGCCCCGCCGCCGCTGATTGGAGCTCCGGCACCGCGGGATTCGACCTCCGCTGCCGCTGATTTGAGGTCCGCCACCGCCGGATCGACCTCTGCTGCCGTCGATTCGAGCTCCGCGGCCGCCGAATCGACGCTCTGACGCTGCCGGAGCGAGCTGCGAGACGAAGCAAGGCAGGCAGCGGCAAGGGATCCAAGCAGAGCTTCAATCGCGGGCGAGGCGAGGAGAGGCAAGCGGGTGAGGCGAGGCGACCAGCGGCAAAGGATCCAAGCAGGCTCGAGGTTGCTCACAAGCGGAGCGGAGGTGGTGTGCCATGGAGCAAAGGGCGGACGGGGATGCGGGCGGTGGAACAGATGGGGATGGGGTGCGGGGAGCGGAAGCTGCTGTGCGCCTGTGCGAGAGCTGAACTGGAGACGGATGGGTGGCAATCGATGGAATGGTTTGGTTGTTGGACAGGGCACTGGTAGGACATACTACGTGTCACATATGGTGCTTAGATGGGCCGTGGGCTTTCCTAAGACAATGGTCGTCAGACCTGCATTATTATTATTTTTATTTTATTTTTTAAATAGTAAACGTATCCGCGTATCGGGTTTTTTAGGAAATTGCCGTATCCGCATATCCGTATCCTTCCGATACCGATACACATATCCGTATCCGTGCAACTTAGTTATTATTTTCCTGAAATTTTGTGACCTCCTTTTTCTATCATGAGAGGTACTACAAGTAAAAAAGTGGTAATCTGGCTGCTTCAAGTATCATTTGTGTTGCTTCAAGTAATTTAGGACTACGTTTTCTAATGTATCCCCTGCATCTTTTCTGGTTACGAATCAAACATCACTGATGTCGCCCTTTAGGTTTACACTCGATGAAGGCTCCTCTGGATCTAAAAAGCCTTCTAGATGTCAACAGGGGCTGCTAAAAGTAAGTGGGAAAGTTCTTCCTGGACACCACACGACCCACATGCGAGTCTTCTTTTGGTGGAGCAAGCAGTATGTAGACTACAATGGCAGTTTAGGATGAAGGACCATGAGGTTGTGCTGCACTTTGTACTGCATCCATTTTATATAGATGGATATCAAGCCTCAAGGCTTGAGAAACATCAAAGTGTATTTAATCATCTGCCAGGTAGCGTAAATGAGTCATATCCAAATCAGCCTTGAATGCTTGCTATAGTACCTATAGTTAGCAACAAATTTAGAGATCAATAATTCAGATATCTATGGAATGCTTTGGACTACAAAGTTTACCTGTTGATTTGTCCCATCATTAATTTTTTAGCTATTTATTCTCACCTCTTCTCCTTATCTTTATTACAGATGTAAGAAGGTTTTTGTAATGAATGGGGACTTGCTAAATCACTCAATTTCAGAGGTTTGTTTCACTTCTTTTATTTGATGCAGCTTAGTTGCTGCTCTATTTTTAGAAGTTTTATTTGATGCTTTTATTTGTAGAGATACCGGTTGACATATATACAAATGTCTGTGCCATTTCATAGCCTAAAGCCTCAATCGCCTTCGGTTTCAAAAAATGGTACCATCTTCGTTTTCACTCCCCAAACTGCTGGCCATAGAAGGATGGCAACAAGAAGCGGCCTCCCAATCCTCAGGAATGTACACAGAGGCAGCCTCCCATTCCCAGTTGGATACTGCGCACTGCAATTGGCACATTGCATTTGATGGTGCCAATACAATGTAGTGCAAAGAATAAAGCTGGAGTGACTTAGTTTATGGCTTGGTCTTTTATTTGTAGTACAGATTATTTTGCTATTTTTTGACCAAATTATAGAGGACAAACTCAGTTCCACATATATTTGGTTATCTGTTATGAACAGAATGGTGTCCTCAAGAATAATTTTAGTCTATTGCCTGAAACGCACTTACCATGCATTATATGGTTGTATATCTCATTCTGCTTGTGCTCTTTTTTAATATATATTTAACATATCTGATTATCCTGCCTTGGAAGTTCTGAAGTTACATTTTCTTTCACGAAAAATAGATTCTTGGATAATATCTCTGCACCTCCTTAGCCTTAATGATGAATATTGTTGTTAATATTTTTCTAATCTAGCTATTAGCCTACGCGCGCAACGAACTAGTGACTATTACTCGCTATGTAAGCAGAAATATTTCTATATGATATTATTTATATGTTTTCCTGTAGAGGGATAAGAGATATAGACACTTCCTCCACATTCTGAATTGCTCACGGATTTCAGTGGCTTAACAAGTTGATTACATCTCAGCATACAAAGTTGTTTTTGTTATGTATTCATTCAAATATTGCCTCTAAATGTACAATATGTTCAGTTTTCAAATTTCCATTTGACTAGTGAGACAAAGGTGGTGCCGTGATCCGTATAGCAGCGTGGTTAAGGCTTGATGCTATATGCCTACTATAGTGTACATGTCACGCTGAATGCATATTAGTGATCTTTAGCAATAAAATGCAGTTCTTACATTAAGACTTTAAGAGTTATTAAAACTAGTTTTAAAAACAAATGAATCTAAGAAAAAATAAAAATTGTTGCATGATACATTCTTCATTCTCATTTGAGTAATGAGCACCTTTTTAGTATAGAAAAAATAACAGCTGCAATGCATGGGCGCTTTGCTAGTACAGAATAAAAACAATAAGAAAGGTGAGAATTGAAGGTGGCCTTGCATTGCTACCCAACACAAACATAGGGTATAATTAAATTAAACTAGGACAAAGAATCAAACATGGCTAAACTTTCTATTCAATTGATCCCTCCACAGCTTGTACAAATTGTGCTAATTTTCAATTGGTGCTTGCAAACTATTTTGTGGGAAATCCTCCATCCAGCATGGTGTGTATATGAAAGAGGTCTCAATAGCAGCCACAAGGCCAGCGAGGTCAAGGTAATCTTTCGGACATATGTTGCCCAAGTCCTGAAACTTTGAGGTATTCCAATCATAGGCTACTGCTCTAGACAAACCTGCATTCAAGAAGACAACCTCTCTGTAAGGATGAAATCCGAGTAAACTTATGGTATATCCTGCAGTATAGCGCCCTTCAACCATATCTTCAGTGCTAAGAACATTATCATCATCAGAGTTCCATTCAAAGTTGTCTTCCACTACCATTTTATGCTCATCATTCCCACAATAAGAATATTTGTAGTACTTGATATCCTCTAATATCCAGGGTCCATTTGGTTGATCACCGTACACCTTACGTGCTTCCAACTTACGTGCAAAGGTCTTCAGATCAACACCGTGCCTCAACTCCCACACTATTTGACCACATGATTCGTTGAGAAGAAAAATTCGAAGTTGATGCCAGTCATATTCAAATGCACAATATACCCCCTTCTCTGATCTTCCCAACGAAAAGAATCCAGGATACCAATCGAAGTGATCAACACCTGCTGGGGTTGGAATCAGTCTGTAATTTGCATTTGAGATGGATATCCTTCAACAGGAAAAAAAAATTGAGTCAGTGACACATGGTCAGCATGTAACTTTAAGAGTCCATATATATAGAGAGAAGTTCACTTCTATATTTCAGGTGCCTGATTTTCAAGATGATTTACAACACTTCTGTACAAGAAACAAGTAAAGTAAATTGTTATTTTTGTGATTTGTTTTTTTTTTGTCTTTGTATCATAACATATCAATTTTTTGTCCTTGTCTGACTATATAGAATAGAAACAATTGTAAATAGTTAATTGTCTTTGTGCCAATTCAGATCATATTTTGTCAAGTTTGTAGTTTGTCTAACGGATTTTCTTTAATTCTCCAAACCAAAAATTTCAGATTTTAAATTGCAACAAACTAAAACTATAATTTTAATAAAAAAATATATGCAATCGTCGCCTGAAAGGCAACTAAAATTCAGGTACCTGAATTTTAGCAAATCCCTTTTCAAGATTGCTGTAACTGATCCTCCAAAATAATTTTACTATAACATTATGATATATATTATTATCAGTTATAGTAATACAGTTATCGTAAATGTGTATTTACTTTATTGTAGTTTAGTATAAATATTATAATAAATAGACGTGGCTATAGAATAAGTTATTGTATGGTTGACCAAAGCTAGACTAAGAATAATGCATTGACAAGGAATACCTCAGAACAAGACCATTTTCGCAGAGAAGGTAGAGCCTTCCTCGCCAATAGACTTTGAGTCGCATGTAATCATCAACAGCAATGGTCGTTTCTACCACAGGGACTTCCGGAGCAAACCACCTCTCCTCCCACCGCCCGGTTTCTGATGAATATACATATACTTGCAGAGCAGACTTGTGCTGACGATCTTTCTGATCGAGGGAAGAACCAATCAAGAACACATGGTAATGCGGTGACACAGTGGGATCGTACACGAGGCATTGCTTTAGGCGAAAGCCCTGCTTCCTCATCTGCTGCGGGGGCAGCGGCAGCCATGCCCACTGCCTCGTTGCAGGGTTAGCGACGCAGTCATCGTCATGGTCGCCTATGGTCTGTGTGCAAAGCAAGAGGCCGTTGCAGTGGTCCATGACTTCAAAGATCCCAGGGATGAACTCCAGGTCGCTGGAGATGGAGGGTCCCGTCGTGGGGCGGGCCAAGAACTCCGAGACATAGTGCGAGCAGTAGTTCATGAAAAGGCCGCCCACGGTGCGCGGGAGCAGGTCCTTACGCAGCAGCCGCCGGTCGTCGATGAGGTCACGCCATCTCCTGCAGGCGCACTGGGAAACAGCCAGGCAGCGTGGCGGGAGGTGGCGCAGGACGTCGGCGACGAGGTCTTCCGGCAGCTCCCGTCCCAACGCCATCACCGCACCTCTCGTTCCTGGTCGACGGCGAGATCGCAAGGGCGGTGGACGGGATACAGATCTAGTAGAGAACTTGTAGTCGTCAGGAGTCCGGAACGGGCACGATTTATCGCGAGCATATCACGGGAACAGCCACGCAAACGAAGCCGTACCCGTAACCCAAGAATCCTACGCCAAAACGGAATTCCTTGGTACTGGGTGTCGTCCGGACGGCTCAATGTTTCTACATTTTCTTTTCAAAACAAATATATTTTTATGATTACTAATGCATTTTATTTATATTGTTTAAATATTATATTACTAGATATATGCCCATGTGTTACACCGGAGCGTCGATTTTTTGAATTGACAGCCGCGGACAAGGATTTCGTATGATACACAGACATGTGGATCCTGTGCCCATGTCCGCATCTAAAAATCGAAGAAAAAACAAAAACGGGACCGTTGAACCCGGCATCGAGCCCACTGTACCGAGACGTCAAGCCCGCTAGCTGCCATGGACCCACTGTGCACGATGCCGCCTCTCCCCACAGCTGATCCTAGTGGTTGTTTTGGACAGCCGAGGACTATGCATCCTCTGTCCACCACCGAGCATGTTTTCCGCTGTGGACCTACAAAAATGAGTCTGCTGGCGGCCATGCATGACCACGTTATTTTCTCCCAGATCCAGCCTGCACTAGATCTCTGCCTGAGAGGGAGAGAGGGTAAGTGGATTGAGAGAGAGGAGAGGGAGAGTATGAAGGTATCTCCATACCCGCTGATGTCGTCATAAGAGACGTCTAATGCCAATTGTCTTCTACAACATGCAGAGTGGTGTCCTGGGCTCCTGGCATTCCTCCACCAGAGGGGCTCACCCCTGGTCCATGCGCAGCCATCGGAGGAGCTCACCCGCTTGCATCGCTTGTGTTGTCATCGGAGGGGCTTGCCCCAGCCCCCTTCGCCACCTCTAAGGGGCTTCTCCCTAGCCTGCGCGCTACTGCCCTCGATCTGCTAGCACTCGGCATGCGCGACCTCGATCTACCTGATCCACCTCACCGCCACCACTCAAACACGATATGCCACCGGAGGATGGGCCCCTTGTGTCACCGAAGGAGCTATAGGCACAGCCACCGAGAAGGACGTGGGGATTTTGCACGTGACGCCACCGTCGGAAGATGGGATGTGGATCGGGAGATGGCAGAGAGAGAGAAGTGAAATCAGGGTGGCGGTGGACGATGTTCTAGGATATGGGAGGAAATGAAATGAGAAGTTAGGTTTTCTTACCCTTTTTTTAGCAGAATTAGGTTTCCTTACCTTATATAGTTTGATATGGAAAGTAGGTCGAGATGGGCCATGTATTCTGGTAGCGGGTTGGGCATGTTAATAGTGGTGGGCCTCTTAAGAGTCCCGTCTATATGTTAATAAGCTTTTAGAGGCAAACCGTCTACAAAAATGGTGTGACGATATCTGAAAATTGTTATCTATTTTTGGAGTTCGTTTCACTTTTTGCCCCGCCTCTGTTAATCAGGATGCTTGTCTTCTAAAATCTTTTTTGTGGTAGTGGGA